ACGGCTCAAGAAAACAGAAGGAGCAGAATGACCTTGTGTTCTCCCTCTATGGAAACAACCATAGCTGCTCCAGCTGATAGTCACGGCCCACAAGTAGCCAGCCCATCTCTTAACACGCTTTGTTGTCAAGTCCGTGATTGAGAACCATCCCTGCCCCTGCAACAAAATCTTCCTCTACCCCCTGGTTAAAGTCTGCAATGGCGCCTCTCAAACTTTAGTCCAAAATGCTCCTGCTGGTAGTCTGCAAATGAGCTGGCTGATTACGTGGAGCTGGCTCTCTCCTCGTTCCCAGCTGCCCCATTTTATTAAAAGAAACGAAAAATACACAAAGCTTCCCTGCTTTCCAATGTTGGGAATGGCTGCAGCAGCCTTGAGGGCGTGCTCCGATCACGAGCTGGAGGGAGGGTGGTCCATAGGAATGGGAAGGGAGGAGACCGTGAGTCACTCGATGCATGCGTGTCATTCTCGCAACAGGGAACATCTGCATTAGCAAATCCAATTCCTACGCCCCATCCGGTTATCTCAGCCACCCCGCTCGGGGATGGTTTGTGCCTCTGGTCTGTCGGACATGGCAAGTTAACTGCTGAAGTTGGGTGAAGCTAGCAGGAGGGGGTGGTTACCGCAGCGACAGTCACTTTTACACAGGAAAGGTGGAGAGGCTTTAATTATTTTGTCTGAAATGGAAACTTGGCCTTGGTAGCAATCCTTATCTAAAGGCATTATTTCATTAGAGCACAGGGTAAGTGCATGTTGGCTGCCTCCTGTGCCACCAAGGTCACTGTGCACTACCTATATTTAACTCATGATAATGAGTATTTGGCTAAAGGTGCTTGGGACTGGATATGTGAAGTGTGACAAGGAAATAGGTGCCATTTTTCACAGCATTCTCATTTGGGACCTGGTCCAACTCCAAGACTTAACAGCCAAAAGAAATGTCACTGTGATTTGGGACTGGCTCTTGCCCTATTCTAGCTATTGCTTGGTTTTCTCTAAGCAAGGATAGATGCTTCCACTATTCGTAGTGCTGTGAATATTTCCATAGAATTTATCTAAAGTTTTGGAGGAAAGGCAAGCAATCCAGCCGCTTCCAGGGTTGCCCCGAGCATGCTTTGCATCACAGACCGTTGGTTGGTTTTGCCGCATCCATTAAGTGGGACATGCCTTAGGGTGTTGCCTTAAGGTATAGCAGCCCAAGGGAAATGCATTCGGGCTGCTTCTGTGCCCTGGAGACCTACTTTATAAGACTTTAGGGTTCAATGAGTGGGCAAATCCTACTTATAAATAAGAATCTGCCAGGAGCATTCAGACATTTGGCTGGCATGACATGCTGCCTTGGTAATCTGAGCTGACGGGGCTCAGTGATGCAGGGAAGAGAGTCTCTATGCATGGTGTACAACGCCTTCAGCATTTGTTTCCTATCCTGAGATAGTCATGGTGCTACCTGGTAGAATTGGAGTCATGCGCTATATCACCTCAACTTCACAACAGCTGTCTTCAGCCGGTCTGTAAGCGTTACCCTGGTTCTTCCTGCCTTGCTTTTGCTAGATGCTGTATTGGAGGCAGGCCTGTTCTTTCTCTTGGGTTCAGGGACCTATCCGTTAAAAGTTTAGAGTTTATTTTTGCATCCAGCGCTCACAAGTCCGAGGTCTCTTTGCTGGTTGATGTCCCACTAGGTGACATGTCATGAGAGTAACACGAGGGACAGTCCGCTCCACTTCACTGGAACCGAATGGCAGGTCGGTGTCCTTACAGCAGGTTGGCGTGCAAGGAGCTTCGATATGGCAGAGGTGGGACCTGAATTTCATCGCACTGCTTTGGGGTTCACAAGCAGCACAGGTGAGAGAAGATGTGGAAGAAGAAAGACTATTTTGATTTTGGCAGAAGAATATTTTGAAGAACTAGAGAAAGCTGCTGTCAGCTCCCTGCGGGCGTTGGGGAAAGCAGAATGCCATTCCTGGAGGTATGAACTTCCAATCATTCACACGCAGGCAGTGCTGCTGTGCCGTAAGGCATGGATTTGTATGAATTTCTGCAGCTAGACGTCCCTGAAGGAATCTGACTGGTGACTTCATGTATCCACCCCAATACTCATTTGACTGGTGAAAAATGTGGAACAGCCTGGCTCTTCAGGAGAGGGCAGATGGAAAAGTCCTGTCCCTGTCTCTCATTCTTCCCAGCGTGGGTTGAGTCTTAACTAATCTCAGCCATCAGCTCTTTGGACAAATGCGGTCATTTGATGTCTTCTGTAAACCTCCTCCCAGACTTCTGGGCTCTGTAAAGTAAAACCAAGCTGTAGGCACATTTACGGTTCTCTTTTCCCATGAACTTGTCTGCAGACGTTAGAGACGATATACAACAGGAAACCTACTATGAGTGATGCTGAACAGCTCCCACTCCCACCAGCTATCAGGCCTTTACAGCGTGCCTTCTGCTCACGGCTCTTGCTAACAGCTGGGGAGCAAATGGTAGCAAGCGCATTTGGAGGTACTATCTGTCCACTCTTGAACCTGTCTAATGGAAAAAGACCGTGTCTAAGTATCATGTGTTTTGCATTCTCCTGCGCTTCTGCTAATAGCTCCTGAAGCCCTGGTGTCAATGCCCTTGATACAGGTTTAACTATGGCAAGAAACTGAGGATCAGTAGCGGAGTTGTATGAACTAGGTCCCTTTGGTACCTGTAAATATTTCTCTGAGAAATGTAGATGAAGCTTCATTATTAAGTGATTTACTACAATTCATGGACTCCGGTAACTGTGCTGCTTTGATTTTTGCTAACAATAAACCATCTACTCAGCGATGTGGCCTCAAAGTCAAAGTGTTAGCAGCCAAGAACGAACACATGGCTGTTGCACCATTGCCGAACCCGCAAAATTAGGCGAATGATCTTCTGGCAGGTTAGCAAAATGGTCACCTGCTTCCAACACATAATTTAAGTATAATTGGCAAGTATAATTGGCGTCCTGTTGTTAGTAGAGAGCATTAGTATAACATCCAGTGGCATGAGGCAGGTTGCAGGGTGTAAAATTTACACACCATGGGACACTATTTGCACTTAAAGGGAGTCAGCTTGACCTCACTAGAACAAGCTGCCTAATTTTTAATCCTCTCCAACGCTATGTGTTAAAAAAATTGATTTGGACTCCAGTGTTGATGGAGGCTCTTTCTGCTTCGGAAAGCTCGAGGGTGAGGAAGAAAAAACTCTCTTTCCTAACACGTGTTGTGAGTGGCTACGTTAGCAATATCCAGATAGAAGCACCTGGCTGCTTTGGAGGAAGAAGACTTGGAGGATGCAGCACAGGCTAGGAGCTAGTGCAGGGGTGGGCAATCATTTTGGGCGGAGGGCCGCTTACTGAGTTTTGGCAAGCCCACAAGGGCCGCATGACAGGCAGTCGGGGGCAGATGAATATTTTGTTTGTTGAATTGCAGGGATATTCATACGCTGCACTTGGCTTGCATTTTCAAGTGTTAAGAGATCCCCAAGACCTCTCTGGGGGATAACCCAGCAGTGCCAGCAGTTGCACACATGGGTAAGTGGAGCGGTAGAGAAGGCCGGTGATTTACCAAGGTCCTGCAGGAGGTCGGGGGGCCTAACCGGGATTAGGGCTCTGTGCCTCCTGGCTCCCCGCCTGTGCCTCGATTGAGGAAAGCACTTAAGCTTGTGCTTAACCCCATCCCTGTTCAGCCAAGCACTTGAGACCATACTTCAGCGAAGCATGTGCATGGGTGCTACCGTGCTCTGGGAAACGGCAGGCTTTGCAAACAACATCTCTTGAGAACAAATTCAGGTGTTGAGCTCACAGCAGGGAAAGAAAGGACCCTGTTTTCAATGACTGTATGTAACCTGTGTAGTACTGACAGCCAGATGAGCCCTGTGCAATGACCCTAGCTCACACCGGTTGAAATCTTGGTGTCTGAACTCAGTGAACTCTAAAGTGGCTTTGATTTTTTTTTTTCTTCTTCTTTTGTTTTGCTGAAGTAAGGAGGGCAGCATTTGTGCCAAAGCTATCCTGCGGTCCTTTTAATGCTTCTAAAAGAGCTCTTCCCGTCCACCTTCTGTGATGCTGTAAAGAGGGCCGAGGGACTGGCAAAAAGGGTGGAAAGCAGTGCTGAGATGGGGCAGTGTTCAGTGTGCTGACCTCTCAGATGAGGTGAGCTGAGCTGCAGTGTGAAATCCAGATAGCAAGGAGGTAGTTTCTGGCCCTGTTTTTGTGTTTCCTGAGACTGGTGTCATTACATGCTGCCCTATTACTAATCACTTATATAAGATATGAAAATAACATGGGGGAAATTGCTTTTCCAGTCTGTTTCCTGAAGTCTGAAACACGCCATCATTTCATCTTGCAGGCAGATAGCACTGAGGTTTAAATGCTGCAGAGCTGCTTCTAGCTACTTGCTGATGTGTGTCTGTGTTCCTGAAACTCTAGGTTACAGTTCATGTTGGTTTGGAATACTTTTCCTTTCCCTTTTTTCTCCAGTAGACCGTTTCCCTGGGCTACCCTTCTTAAAGGGCATTTTACTAACTCTGTTCTTTTTTTCCTTTAAAAAAAAAAAAAAGAGCGTGTCTGTCTTCCTTTGTGGATCTGCTCCCAAATGGTATACATTGCTGGGAGGAGGGGTGTCTGAAAGGAGAATTTCTTCAGCGTGAGGAAGCTAAATGCACTGGGGAAATATATTTGATCTGTATTGGGACTCATAGTAGTGATGATATCTTTTATTAGACCAACAAGATTTTTGCAAAATAAATTCTTTAATTGCAAGCTTTGTGTGTGTCCTCTTGTCCCGTGTACGCCAAGGGATACATTATAGGATTCCCACACTGGCTTCTTCTATAATTCTTGATTTTCTTGAGTTCAGTAATCCGGTGCGTGTTTAGTTTTGAGCCAACTTTTCTTTTCAGTAGGTTGTTTCCAGCATGGGAGAGACCTCTTTTTGGTCATGCTTATTCTCTTGTCATGGTTAACTTTCAACAGCCTGAGCGTGTTGTGTGTTGTCTCTTGACAGGTGTACAACATGTTTCAACATCAGAGTCTTGGAATTAAAGTCAGCATTCGGGTGACAAAGCTAGTCCTCCTTCGAAACCGTCCAGTAAGTCCTGACCCGTTTTTACGCTGTTGGTATAGCCATTGCTAACCCTGGCGTGGGATTCCCGTTATAACGCTGTTGGACTCTAGGATATGTTTTTGGAGGTTTAATTCCTGATCCTGTAAGCCTTCTGAGCGTGGGATTCCTGCAGAAACTTGCAGTTGCTGCTACCTAATGGAATGAATTGCAAGGCCGAAGGGGTGGAGGTCTTAGCTGGAAGTCACAGGCTCAACCCCAGCTGATATCTGACCTGTTGACTTGAGTTGCTTCATGTATTCATGACACTCATAAGTATAACTCTGAACCTTATCTTTCTTACCCAATGTCCTCTGCTTCATAGACACTCGTGCAGCTCCTGGTCTGACCAACTCCTTGTTTCTCTGTATTCCCTTTTGTTTATGAAAGGCAAAACTGTCCATTGGGCACCATGGAGAGAGGTCGCTGGAGAGCTTTTGCCACTGGCAAAATGAAGAATACGGTGGAGCCAAGTATCTTGGTAATAATCAGGTTCCTGGCGCCAGGGATGACACCCCACCTGTGGATGCTGCCGTCTTCGTTACCAGGTACAGAAAAATCGGCTTCACTGGTGTCTTTTGGTGGGGATGGCAGACTATTTGACAGGCAAATAATTCTAAGATCTGGTTTCTGCCTTTTACCCCTCATTCGTGCCAGTCTGTGGGCTGCGTGGGTAAGGTGGATCAGAACACAAGTGACTTGTCTTCATTTTGTTTGGATTTCCAGTCTTTCAGTGGCAGGCAAAGCATCTCTTCTGTTGGCACGTTGCTTGGCTAAATGCTCTTCCTGACCCAGAGCAGTTCAACAGCAGGGAACGTGCCAGCTTGTGGATTTGCTCTTAGAACCAGCTCTGACCTTGACCCACCCGGGTCCTAGAACACCGCTAGGACTTGCCCTGCCCCTCTGTGCAAAACGCCCATCTTCCAAGCTCACTCTTTGCGACCCTTTGTCTGATCAGATGCACCCCATCAGGGTGAAGTTCAGAGAGTGCCAATGCAAAGGGGTGTTACCATCATCGGCCCGCTGGACAAAACGCTCCTGTGCCGCAGTGTTGTCATCAACATCGTGATCCGTTCTTGCACGTTTGTCCTGTCAGTAATGTGGATAGACGTGAATCTGTTTCTACACCTTCGGCCATTTTATAAAATACGGCTACTTGTGATTTTAATTTGGTCTTTTCTGCTGGCACATTGATTTGGTTCCTCATTTCCAACCACACTGGGATGCTGGTGGGTGTTCAGCAGCATTGGACTTTAGGGTATCTAGGCAGGTGCTAGGGCAGTGGGCTAACAGAGTTAGGTACTTTCCTTTGGAGTGGAGGACCTGCCTATTTGCTCTGCTTCCAATGCAGCCACCAAGGCCCCAGTCCAGCAAAGCATTTAAGTACATGCTTGACTCCGAAGTGGGGGAAGCCATCCCTTTGAGGTCAGTAGCTCCTGCTTATAGTTAAGCATGAGCTTTCTTGGATCCAGGCCTAGATAAACAAGGCTTTCTTTTTTTGTTTAAAACTCTCATCTGGGCGTTCAGTTGCACTGATTTTCACCCCCAGTCCTTTCATCCCCGTGATATGTGAAGCGTGCAGAATCTTTCCTAGTGAGGTTTTAAGTGCTGGGGTGGGGGCACGGGGAGCATGCCCGCCGCTCTCTCTCCCTGCAGCTGATGAAATGAAATTTTCCATGTCGTCCTGAACCAACTGGAGCCAGTCACTCAAACCTGCGGGGATGGCTGAAAAGGTTTTGCAGTCGGAGGAGCTGGAGAGCTGCAGCTGCTGTTAGTTTAGCTAATAGGCTTGAAGAGCAGCTAATTTGGGGGGAAAAAACTGGGCCCAGGACCACTGCTGTTCTGCAGAAGAACCGCATTCATCCAGCATGATAGGCCAGCGGGGTGTGATTGCAGGCTACCCCCTCCCCGTCCGCATCCACTTCCCTGCAGTTCTAGCCCAGCCCTGCTCCTGCTGCATAAAGGACGCTGTGTTGCTTGGAAGCCTCCTGGCCCGGCTGTCCTGATTCCTGTGGCAGGGAAATTAGGTTTTCTTCTCTTGGCTTTGGAAGTGTGTGTGTGTGTCCCTGGATCTTCCCCAGCCTGTACAGATGGACCAGCCGCGGAGGATATGGAAGCAGCAGCATGTCCAGCAGAAGCAGCCAAGCCAGAAAAAGCAGAAGCTGGATTTTCAGCAGCTGCAGCTGCTTTGAGGACTAGAAACAGACCCTTTAGGGTCAGCCTCAGAAAAGAGCTCTCCTGTTCCAGCCTGCTGGCTGTGTTCACGCATGGCGTCCCTGGACATTTTGCCTCTGGAAAGATCACCTTTGCTTGGTGAGGCAGGAAATAGGTGATTTTCCCTATGCACAAAAGCAAATGCCTCCATTGAAGGTGTTGGATAAGGGGTACGCACTTAATTCAGGCTCTGAGTAAGGAGGATGCTGTTCATGTCCCCAGAGGGACACATCCCGGTCCTGTAACTAACGGGGACACCTGAGACGCCGGGGTGGGTTTGAGTTACTGCCATGTGAATTCTCTACTCAGCGTGTTTGTCCCTTGCCCTCCTGTTTGTCCAGTTTCCAACATCTCCTCTCGAAGTGCAGGGCTCTGCAACCGAAGCATCTGCAGGATGATACCGATCCCGTTGTAATGGTCAATAGAAATAACCTCTGTTTGCAGAGCCTGTTATGGAGCCCAAGTTAGACCCCCTGGACATGTCAGTATTGTCAAAGAGCCATGCTAGTCGGAGTAGCACAGCGAAGCAGCATACCTGCTCTGTGCTCACAACAGAGGATGTACAATAGCTGGGTGCATGTTGCCAGCTCCCAGATTTGTACGTGCTTGTTGGCCCCAAATGCTGCCAGTGCATCAAGGGCACCTGCATTGCCTCCATGTAGGGTAACATCTGTGGAAGGGGCACATGGTGCTTCTCGGTGAGGCTGCCTCATGCAGTTTTTCAACGGTGTAGATGCACCCTTCATGTTTCTTTGCTCCTAGGGGGCTCCCTGAAGCTTTTAGGCATTTTGCAGAGGTCCCCAGCGCATCGCTCCAGTCCCCCAGGTCCTCAGATGCCTGTGCATTGTGGAGATCCACCAACCATTCATCCAGAACATGCCTGTTTTGTTTTGGGGACATCCTTGCTGGTTATGAGCTCCTCCTATGAGAGCAGCATAAGCTGCTTTAGCTGCTGTCTGCCATGTGGTTGCAGTCAGGTGGGAGAATTTGTTCTCTGTGGAATCCAGAGAAGTAGAGTTTGGGGGTCTTATTCACCAAGGATTAGTGTCTTCCTTGTCTCACAGGTCAGTGGGTCACTTCCAGTTGCAGGCCTTTCCACCTTCCTCTGCCTGCGTTGTGGTTTAATGCCAACAAATGATGCCGATGTAGCCAACAAGGGGAATGTGCATCATTGCATGCCCACGCACAGCTTTGGTGTGCTGGAGACTCGGGCCATTTTGCAGTCATACCACTTTTTCCATCTTTTACCAACTTGGCCGTTAAAGTTTCAGCCATTCAACAATACTTGTCAGGTACTGGAAAGGGAAAATGGTGGCCCACTAGGGCATTTCTGAGTTGCTCTGCCCATCCCACTGGGGCCCTTTCTTGCCGAAGGGTCTCGTGCTTAAAATACAGTTGCATGAGCTTATGCATTTTTCCTAAGCTGTGTGTGCCGGGAGCATGTTTTTTGGAGGAAGGTTTGGCCCCTTTTTCCGGGCTCTGGTCACTTGACCTTGTTAGGTTTTTTTTCCTATTTCTTTATTTTCCTTAACAAATAGCTCTTTGTGTCAGCATGCAACAGAACAGCTGAGGCTAGTTCCTCTTCGTTCAGTTAAAGGTCAGAAGTGAAAGGGAATTTGTACCTTACAATAGCTGGGCTATTTGCATGTGATATTAATATGTCCTCCAAGGTAGAATCTGCTGAGTTCATACCAGAGTCTGGATCCAAATGTCTGCAGGTCTCTGGGGGCAAAGGAGGCATTTCAATTGATGGAGGGAGGGCATTATTTTCAGCCCGTGTTATCGTAGTTGCATGTGGTCACAAAGAGGCCTTTGCATACATAATCCACATTAGAACATGTATCTTTCTTGGATCTTAGACAGGATCGTTCAGGTTGGGGCTTTTTCTTTATGCTTATCAGGTCTGCAACAGCTCCATCAACAGAAGAGGTTGGGGCAGAGAGAGGTGGTTAGCCGCATCACATCTTCTGCCTAGCTGCTTACTTTGCAGGTGACGGCAAACGCTACGATCGCTGTAACCTCAGGGGGTTAACCGCCTTGTTTGTCCCTTCTGATTTCCAACCCATCGTTACTGCTCTCAGCAGTGCCCCTCCGTTCCTCCCCCTTTCCCTTTACCGTATTACTTTCTCCTGAGTCCCCCTGCTCTCTGCAAGTCCATAAGTAGCATCTGACAAAGTAGGATAGAGGCTATGAAAGCTCACGCTACTTTGTCAGATGCTACGTATGGACTTGAGGTAGTCTATAAGGTGCTCTACAATGCAAGGAGTCAACAGGCCTGACTTGAGGTCCTTTCAGTTGTGGCCTCTCTACCACTAAGGACCCTACTAGTGCTATTTGGGGGTGGGTTGTGTGACAGGGTGAAACACTTGCCCATGGGAACAGCCCGAGAGCCAACAAAACTCATGTCAAGTTTTCCAGGAGATCAGCTGGCTGCAAATTTTCAGAGCTCGCATGAGCTGGCAACCTACAGGTGCAAGGTAATTTACTGGCTGCAACTACGGAGATGACATGCTTTTCCTGTTGGGCCTCGGACTTTTCCTGACAAGGGGTCAGGAAGGCGTGAAGCAGGACGTTTTGATGGCAGGGCTCTGAGCAGAAGGATGAGGTTTTGTGACCGTCTATTTGGGGGCAGTTCAAGGGCTGGGTTAGTTCTTCTCGCCATCAGACCCAGTCGCAGGGCACTGCATGGAAGACAGACCACTTAGATTTCCCTTCGCTCTTCAGGACCCCTGAAAGTGGTCTGAGCTTTCTGGTTAAAGAGCCGAGGGATTAGCGCACCTCCAGAGAGAAGGATCTCGGTCTGCAAAACGCGCGGGATTATTTCCGAGACCCCGAGTTTTGTAGCCCGGTGGTAATTTCTCTTGGGAATTGCCTGAAACGACCACACACTTTTCCCCGCAGAAACCCAGAGTACAAGAGGCAAAACGCCGCGCTGTTTTATTTGCTGAGCAAGCCAGCTTTTCAGGAGAGATGCTTTTCGAAACGTGGCCTCCTGCCACCTCCTAATGGTGCAGCTATCTGTTGTCACAATAGAAGCATCTGTTTGATTTATCAGTTTATATAACACAATAAGTCCTTAAATAAACCTCCATCAGGCCAGCTCTGGGAAATCAGGCAGCGGGGTTTCGTGCCAGCTCAGTCGGCAGCAAGTGTCATCCATCTTCTTTGGAAAAGGTTTGAACTCCAAGGTGTCAGACACGGCAACACGGTTCAGAAAAATGAAAACCTTGGCCTGGCCAGGCCAGGAGCTGCTTCCGATTTGCTTGGGGTCCATCTGATCGTTTTAACCCTCTGATGGCCAGTACCATCTTTTTTTTGCTGTGAAATATAAGCTTGATTGTTCTTTTTTTTTTTTTTTTAAATATCCATTTTGACTGTTAACATGGATTACTACTTATTACTTTTTTTTTGTAACCCGCCTGAGCCGGCATTTTCAAAGGAGGCCAATGATCCCATGGACACTTGGACATCTATAGGGACAGTTAAACATTTCTATTTTCTTCTGTAAATCCCACTCTTACGTTTTCATTCCAGGAGCAAACTCTCTTTATTATGCCTCCAAAAAATGGGATTGACTGCTTTCCCCCCTTTCTCCCTCAGCAGGATTTTCTATTTATAACTGCACACCCCCAAACCACCCACACGACTTGCACGCCCCTGCTTTGGGCTGAGAGCGCAGCTGGAACGGTGACAACCCACTGATCCTCTCACATTGAAGGAACCCCTGGCGCATCTTGTAGGTCTGATAGCATTTCCCTGGCTCCTCTTTGGAAAAGCAGTGCTCCCGCAGAGCCCCAGCACTTTTCAGCCAGCAAAGAGCACATGGAGAAAGCTTCCAAAGGTGTCGAAGCCTACTTTGTACCTGGATTTTTCCTTAGCTCCCTTGCTTTACTTCTGTTCCCACTGGTTGTTTCCTACTTTCCAATTCAGGAGAACAAGAATAATTTATGTAGATTAAAAGGGTGAAATGGATTCAACAAGAGGTCATCCGAAAGCCAGGGCCCATTTTATTGCGATTCTGATCCAGCTTGTTCTCCGAGACGCAGTCCCATTTCATCCTCCTAGATGTCCCCTGGTTTCTGTCTCAGATTAGGCTCCAGCCTTGCGGTGTGTCTGCCCCTGTTGAATACGCCGTGGGGTGAAAGTAAATGACCCAGGTCCTGCAAGGAACTGATGCCTAGAAACTCGAAATGTTCGACGTGACGTGGCAATTCTCCTTGACACGGTCGATCTTAAGACCTGGTTTTGAATTTGGACCATGACACGTGGAACAAATCCAAATACCTGCCTGTCATCTTGCCTGAGTAGTTCACGCTGTTATCTGTGCGGACTGCGTCTACAAGCAGAGGATACCCCTGACTTGTCTCCTGTTTTCTTTTTAGGACAGATTTCTGCGTACACAAGGATGAACCCTGTGACACTGTGGGTAAGTCTCTGCGTGAGAGAGGGCTCATTTTGGAGCACAGCTGCAGAGATTCGGTTCTCCAGCTGATCTTTCATTCTTGGGTTTGCTCTCATGCTGCTTTTGTGTTACAAATACAAGTGTTGTATAAATACAAATCAGGGAGCGTAGACTGCTCTGCAAGCTTGCTGTAGTCATTAACCCGGTGTAAGGTTTGATGCCTTCAAGCTGAGGAAGGAATGCGGTAGCCCTCTCATTTTGGAGTAGCCAGCCAGCAGGTGCGTTCAGATCATTGCAACTTGGGAACTGAATTTTTGAAACCTGTGACCGTGTTATTTTTCCACACGGTGAAAAGATTCTAGCTGTGCGACTCCTCGTGTGAGGCAGGTGTTTCACAGCTGAGACAGTCTGCACTCGGGGCCTTATATACAGCTATATAACAGTAATATATATAATATATTATTATATAATATAATATATATAGCAGTTATATACAGCTATATATATACATGCGGGAACCCAGTGCTAGAATTTGGGGAGAAAAGTGTTCATCTTTTCTAGCCCCGTTTCTCTTGTTTAATCTCTATCCATGCATAGGATGTTTTCCTCCATTGACATACAGAAGGGCCTGCCAAGTCCCCGAGGCTGGGGACAGATGTTGCATGTGTCCCTGAACAAGTTGTGCTCCTTTGTCCCAGAACAGAAATATCGTGGGACTGATGTGTACACACGCCGTCCTCCTAGTCAGGGTTTAGTGAGCGGCTGACTGTTCTGCCGTTGATTCAGTGATGCAACCGCAGGGCAACCTCTCAGATGCGCTTTGCAATGTCCTGGGATAAGCTCTTAGTACATCGTGTCCTGTGAATCTTTTTAGGATTTATCCTGGAGCAATGGACATGGATGTCTTAGTGGTCACACTTTGTCCCAGGATAAAATGGTGTGCCCTAGGGTAAATGTGATGTCACTTTGTAGCCTGAGTAATAGATATATCAGGATTAATATTAGAGAAAGGTATTACTGAAGTAAAGCCAAACAAAAGGACTATTTTTTCCTAACCACTCCTACCCGTACCTTAGCTCTGGTTTTCCAGTGGCAGGAACTCTTAACACCAGCACTTTAACTATTCTCTTCTATCCAGACCAGTGGTGCTCAACCTCTCCAGCGTGCAGGCTAGATGAGTGGGGTACAGCTAGTCTGCATGCTGGGTCTGGGACGTGGACTGTCCCTGCGTCCCAGTTCTCCCATTGATCTAGATGGACTGCAACTCCTCTGCCCTGCATCTCACCCCGAGAGCTGCGTTTGGTGGTATAACTCCAATATACTCTCTGTAAATAGTGTATGAATGATTACGCCTCGGCTTCAAAGCCAGGCTGCCTCTGTTTTTACATTCCAAGTGAGCCCCGAGTGAGTTGTGACCGGTAGGTCTCAAACTGAGCTCAGCCTCTGCAAGCTGAGGAGGCACTGAGCGGGGTACTAGGAGATAAATAGCTGTTGAGGGTTTGCTTGTGGGGGGGAGAGAGCTGTACACATGCTGCAATAGGAGGTCTGAGGGTGCATTGCACCGGTCACATCGCGGCGCACAGATTCTTCCCTATCTGTGGTGCACAGGGTAATGGTAGGAGATGAAGGAAGTAAACACAGCATTGCAAAATATATACATTCTCCATTCGAATGTTAACAAGATCTGGACTGCATGTCCAAACTTTCCAGGGGGAATTCTTCACAATGCTCCTATTCTCTCCAGCTCCAATGGAAAACATGCTTCCACAAAGGAAGTGTCTGAACTGTGTACCTGAGGCCGGATGTGGCAATGGTACAGTACACGGTGATCTCTATGCAGAAATAAAGCTGATGGAAGACACATGCTACCGCTTAACAGACGCTGACTATGTTCGATGCTCTTTTCCCATTTAAAGACAGCATTGTTGAGGACTTGGGGATGGGAATGATCTTTCCATATACTGCCCGACTAAGGAAGTATCCTTGTCATGCTTCCTTTCTGTCCTGGCATTGTATATGTAGCTGCTTATTCTGTGGCCCACCGAAGGCTGGGATTCTTGTGGAGTGGGTAGTGGAAGATGTGTGGTAGAGACCACACTTGTTTCCTGCTCCTCTGAACATAGTGTTTCCCAGCATTTTGGAGCACCTCTTCAAGAAAGTGAATCCAGCCTTTCCCCCTTTTGCACTGTCATGTGGTGTTAAAAGCTTTTAATCATCTTCATTCCCATCTCTTCCATGTCCTGTGAAAGAGCAAGGGGTGCACCGTGCACTTTAGGTAACGGTGTAGGTCTCCGTAAGAGGAAACATCCTCTCTTTTCTTATGTGCCAGGAAGAACACTGAAATAAGTGACTGCATAGACATTTAAAGACACAGCAACCTGGGAAATGAATGAGACTGTTCAGAGCTCGTCCAGCTATTGTGTCAGGCTCTCTGCAAATTCAGGCCTCTCTGCTTCGATTATACTTGCGCTGTTAGCTGTTACCTAGAGCCTACTGTCTTGTTCTTTCTTTCACTAAACGTAACCAAAAAGCTTATCACACTTGGGTGGTTTCATATAAGCTCCTTCTGCTTGTCTTCACCAGAGGTGGAGTGGAATACCCATAGTTTCTTGGCTTTGGCAAAAGTCACTCCCAAGATATTCCAGCGATATCAGCAGAGTTCAAGCAGGAA